GTACACCAGAATCTGTAGCCTGACAGTTACCAGGTGACTCCTGACATCATACCTAAACTATTTTAGGAGTGTGGAGTTTGGGGGTTTGTTGTTTTTTCTTTTTTTGTTTCCTTTCCCTTTTTCTTTAAAACTATGACAACTTCTAAACCCATGATTTTTCGTCACAATGAAGGACAATTTATATTTCTGTGCTCCAATTTAAAGGACTGATGAAATTTGTCAAGAAAAAGGTTACATACCAATTACAGTCACAATGCACAAGTGACAGACACCACAATTTCTACATACAGCTTCAAATACTTTTTGCTTTCAGTACTAAGTTTCTTAGGACTAACTGTCATTTTTAAAGACATCTTAGCCTCCAGTTTACTTTTACTCTGTTCTGTATTTTCAACATTTCCAATAAGCTTCTTATCAGAAGTACATTTAACAGGAAACCACACACATACATTCATCAGAATTTCAAGCGTCTTGCAATTGTTAACATCACTATCAACTCTACAGTAGGAACGCTGACTCTGGAACATGAAGTTGGCATGATATAACTGGACAAAAAAGGATAGAGAACTAACACTACTGCTCTGAACAGCAGTCAGCTAATCTTTCAGCCCTGCAAAAAAACTGTATTCAGCACCCTAAGCTGATACAAATGGTATCCTTTCTTTAAGGCCCGTATGTCCAGTCTGATTTTCTTGAAACAACACAGCAGCAGCAATTGCTTTAAGAGCTTGCATTAAGCAGATCTGAAGGCTCTCATCAACACCCAGGGCACACAAGTAAGTCCCAAAGGAACTGGAGCACAGTAGTTACTTCCTGATGTTTTAATGTAATTATACCCATAATATTTAATATAAACTACTTTACTCCCTAGAACTCCATAAAAGAAAGAAGTGGAACAGTTTTAAGAGTCCCCCAGAACAATCTGCAGAGCAGACACACTAAAAGAATTTTCCAACCAAAAAACCCACACTCATTGCCTGGAGAAGAAGCATACACATCAGCTTCTGACCCTACCAGAAGACTCCTGGAATGCCTTAGGCAAGTCATACACCTGATTACTGTAATAAATGAGATAATATTCAATGGTTTTTGCATTCAGGAGTGTCAAGTGTTGTAGACTTCAAGGCACTTTTCTCACAGAGAGAGTTAATGATCAGTTACAGAGCATCACTTTCAGGTCAGCAGATCTCTATGACACTCCTGCTGAAAATGGGAACAATGCAGGAAATGGAAACAACAGGTATGTGTAAAGACACTTCTCATCCCAAAACAATTACTGGATTCTCAGGTGTTTCTCACCCTGAAGACTGAGATAAGCATTCCCATAACGCCTTTTTCAGAACTACTTTTAACATATTTGGTTTGGGGGACACTTAAAAATCCTGGCATAAACCTTTCTGGTACACTGCACAGAAAAAGTCATCTTCCCTGTCACTGAGTTTTAGCAATATCTCTGGGAAAAAAAAACAAGCAAAACTGTATTACTGATCATGTCTTGCAGCACGAACTTCAATTTGATCTCTGTGTTACTGTTTCTTCTTCAAGTTGCTTAAAAATAAGTAAGTCATAGAGAAATATTCTCTTCAGGAACTTCCACCTGCACTGGCATCATGCCTAAACGTACCTGCAGCTTTGGAATACACACCAACTCAAAGCAACCGCATTTCAAGCTTACAGAAATACAGCCAAGTGACTGCTCTGGTATGGCTCAGCGCAGACATGGAAAACCAGATAGCTCCTTTTGAAGGGGACCAGACTGCCAGCTATTTCAGCTTGGGGCAGTCACTGACAGTCAAACAGAAGACTAAGCAATAAAAAATCATGCATCTGCCAAGATTAGGACCATAAAAATGGCAAGACTTCATAGATTATAAATAAGAATACTGCAAAATTGAAACTGGCTGATCGATTATCTAAAGCAAGTCAGCGCAAACTCTATGACTGAATAAACAAAACACAAAGAAAATGCAGATAAGGAGAGGCAGAACGATTTTTTACAAGAATTCTGAAGACTGGAGATTATGCAAGGAACTTAATCCTGCACAGACCAAGTGATAACACTTGGCCATCCAAGGCTGTCCAGCATTATAAACTCTCTTCTGTTTCTATGACTGCATGACATTCTCTTCAGTGCAGTCCTCCCAACAACATCAAATTGTTTTTCCTTATATTTCTGAGGGACACTGTTATAACAACATCTGGCTAAGTGTCCATCTCCAAAGGCTGCATTGTGACTCTGACCTCACACACTTCTTACATTCATATATTATATCTATTCACCCAGAGTCAGTTAAAGTACAAACAGATTCTTTTTATGCATTTGTCCACCTACACATCCACAGTATTCTTCAAGCTTTCCCAACAAATCAGGCAGGCGTTCTGCAGCAGACAGCTCCGTTTATCCAAGCTTAACTCCTTCCAGAAGGGGTCTGCCCAGAGTAAAGTAAGGGTCATGTGGGGCAGTAAAAAAAAAAAAAAAAATCACCACGATTCAGAAGAAATTATGGTTACAAAGACATTCTTATTCTCACTATTTAATAACATTAAGGATTTATTTTTTTTTCTTAAAAGCATTCTCCATAATACAGAGGGCATATGGCCAGGAGGGACTGGGTATTTTCCTTAATTCCCCCAAGTACCTGAGTAGCCTTACCTGTGTGTCTTTTCTGTGTGTGTCTCAATCTACTGCTCACTTTCAGAAGAAACCTTACTTCCTTACTAAAGTCTGCAGTTCAACTATGCCTGACTTTTACTTGACAGGAATAAAAAAATACCCACCCACTAGGACAACAGCAGCTACGTGGGCACTGGTAAGTACTGCAAGGACACAAGCATTCGCTGTACGCTGCAGCAGTTTAGTACTTCCAGCTCGTCTCTCCTGCAGACCCTAAAGATGCTTTCCTTCGTCTTCCAGTAAGAAAACTGCACGCACACACACCCCTCCACCACAGGAGGTTTTTCTGTTTCCCTTTTGCTGTCAAAGACGACAAAGCTGCACAAAGCAGGCCTAGGCTGCTGCCTGCGTACCAATAAATGCCAAGATTCCTTCCCCCCTCCGCCCTTCCCCTTCCTCCAACTTCACTCGGAGCAGCTGACAACTGCCGAAGCCGGGGGGGAGGAGGGGAACGACGGGGGAGAGACAAGGCCTACACATGCACAGAAGGAGGCGACCCGAAATCTCGGGCCAACGAGGAATCACATTAACCGCTGCCCGCAGCTCAGCTACAGGCAGACGTGAGCCCAGGACACCTCCCCCGAACAGATAATAACAAAGAAAACAGAGGGGAGGAGGTAGCTGCCCCGCAGCGAGTTCCTGCTCCTCCCCTTACGCTGCTCCCAGCCAAAACAAGAGACCACAATGTAAACAGAGAGAAAACGTGCGTTTATGGCAAAGCGGGGGCCAGGGGCAGCCTCCTCCTTCCCTGCAGCAGCAGCAGCCAGTATCGCCCACCGCTGTGTGCGGGGCGACGAGCAAAGTTAGCCTGCACCTCACACACTTCACTTATGTAAACAACGTATTTTCCCCTCGCTGCTGCCACACCACCTCTTCTCCCGAAATACCCTTCCTTAGCCCTCAGGGTTTTCTTGAAACAAACCAAAACAACACGTTGCCTCACACCCCTCTTGCCTCCTCCAAAACGCCTCGTCCTGGAAGATGCAGCCCCAACCAGGCCCTGAGGTTACTAGGATTCGGGAGAAAACCCGTTTCCCAGTGCATTTCCTCAAAGGCAAACCCCCAGCCTTCAGGAGGGGTAGGCGGGCAGGTCGCACAGCCACAGCGGGGGCCGAGCGCTGCCTCCACCTTACCTCTAACTCGACACCCTCCCACTCCCCCTATCTCCAGATTTCAAGGCTGGAGCCTTCCCCCACCCCCCCCGTCCCCGTCCCCTCACACCTGCGCCGGACCTCGACAACTACACCAACCGCCCCTCCTCCCAACCCTTTTTGATCCAGAAACTATTTATTACTCAGGCGGCAAAAGGATGCGGGGATGGAGGGGGGAGCCGGGTAAAGGAGGAGGAGCAGGCTACCAAGGGCCCCCGCCCGCCGTTCCCACCCCGAAGAGGCGAGCGGCACCAAGCCATCGCCCTGTCCCGGCTGCACGAAAACAACCTTCCTTTCCCTCCCCCTCTCCACCCCCCGCGCCTCAGCGCGCGCCTGCGTGCGGGGCCAACCGGACAACGGCAACCGGAGAGATCGGGAGGGGGGAAGGGGCGGGCAGGGGTCAGTCTCCCGCGCTCCCCACATCACCCCACAGCCGCTACTCACCGTCCAGGCTGCTCCCCCCTGCGAAGCACTGCACAGGCAGGGAACCCTGTTCTGCGGCCCCCTTCCCCCCCTCCTCCCCCTTTCCTCCTCCTCCCTCCCGCGGGACAGCTCCGCGGTCAGACGTGGTTGGCTGAGCGTTGTGAGCCTGAGAGCCAATGAGGGGGCGGCCTTCACGGTGCTCGTCAGCAGTCGCCTGGGGACGCAGGGATCCTTGCGCTAGCGGCACCGCCCGGCCGTAAGGTCGCCCCTCCTACCGGGCGGGCAGTGCGTGTGGCCGCGGCCCGCGGTGCTCCTGAGGGCAGCGGAGGAAGGGCTTGCGCGGCTGGGGGTCGGGGCAGGCCGCAGGGAGCAGAGCGCTAGCGCTGCAAGAGGGCGGAGGAGGACACTCGGGCCCGGTTGTTAGAAAACGCTTAAGATGTCTGGTGTCCGGCAGGGCGAGGAAAGTGATCATTCCCATGCACTCGGCACTAGTAAGGCCGCGCCTCCAATACCGAGTTCATTTCTCGGCCCCTCACTACAAGAGAGAGAACGAGTTAATGCAGCGGGTCCAGACAAGAGCAACAAAGCTGGATGAAGGACTTAGAGCGCAAGTGTGATGAGGAGGGGCTGAGGGAAGTAAGGGTTGTTTAGTCTGGAGAAGAGAAGGCTCAGGGTGGACATTATCGCTCCAGGAGCATCCTCCAGGCGGATGGAGACAGGAGGTGGCTGGTCTTTTCACCCAAGTAACAGATGATAGGACAAGAGGAAACGGCCTGAGACTGTGCCAGGGGAGGTTTAGATTGGTTATTAGGAAAAATTTTCTTCACCAGAAGGGTAGTTAGGCATTGGAACAGGCTTCCAGGGAAGTGGTGGAATTGCCGTCCTTGGAAGTGTTCAGGAAACGTAGATGAGTCTCTTACTGGCATGGTTTAGTGGTGAACTTGGCAGACTGGGGTAAAGACTGGACTTGATGATCTTAAAGGTCTTTTCCAACCTGGTTGATTCTATGATTCTTTTAAATGGCTCTGCTTTCACCTTGCCTCCTCATTTTATGGCATTTTTGCCTTCCTCCAACAAGCAGAGGCAAGGTGGAGGCCAGCATCTCTTCAGGTGCCACTTCTATAAGGCCTCTCACAATGGGGGTGGCACTGCCTCTCCCTGGAGAAAGGCCTTGAGGCTTCAGTGTTGCCAATGCTTCAAAAGATGAGATAGTTTGAAAAACTACAGGGAGGAAGAGAGATCCCAGAGAAAGCTCAGAGGAATTTTGGGAAGGAGGAAGTACTGTGGAAGGGAATAGACAGGAGTAAGCTGAGTTCAAGCTACCCTGGAGCCTCTGTGCAAGGAGGTGAAGGCCAGGTGTTCAAAAGTATTGGGTCATTCTGAGCTCTGAAGTGAGGTTCTAAAGTCATCATCTCATGTTTGGTGTGAAAGGGGACTGGAGGAATGACATGAGTTTTGGGAAGTCAGAGGGTAGGGAAAGTAGGCTGCTTCTGATGTTTGAAGAGTTAAAATACACAGGTGTCAGGACTTGCAGCAGCGTGGCTAATCAGCTTTCCATTGAGGAAAGGAATGAGAAACACCAGAGATCAGTATCAGGAAATGGATTATGTTTACATTTGTGGAGGAGTAAATTCATATTCATCAAATGATCAGGCAAAAGGTGCAGTGTTTATGGATTTCGGGCTACCAGATATAGAAGCCTGAAGACCTAGAGTGGATTTTATAGTAAAAACAGCAATTTAAGTAACTTGGTGACATTTACAATGATAATTTATCTGGAATGATTTAAGCATTGAGAGTTTTATGAAATGCAGCTGAGAGGCATAAAGTTTTGAGCTCTAGCCAAAGTTTGAGTACTGGTGGAACAGGATTTCTAAGTGAAATCCCTGAGAAATGAGGTGCACATAAATGTAGATGGTAAGAGGCCAGGAATAAGTACTAATCTGCTGTGGGGTGGAATTAGTTAATACCTGTGGGACACAATGGTCATAGATGGCAACAACTGAGGTGGAACTAATTTGCAACATAAGGGGGAGAATTTCTGCTAGGCAATGTCTGACAATTCTGTCTTTTTTTAGCTGGACTGAAGGATTAACATAGTCCTACAAGTTGCCATGCTGTTGCTTCTGTAACTGATGCCTTCTTGCATGAGAGAAGTGGAGGGTAGGAGAAACAAATTTCATTTTTACGTTAAAATATGCATTGCCCTCAGATAGTAAACTTAAATAATTTTTTGCTGGATTTGAGTATTTTTTCCTATTAAGAATTTTTAGAGTGATGTTACAAGTGTGTATAATTCCCTGCCTGTTGTATGGATGAGGATTTCCTGGGTTTCATTCCCTCTCTCTTTCATCACATCCTACACCTTGTGCATGACCAACGCACACTTGTTACTTGTCGAAGTGCACTTAATCAATATTCACTCAGGACAGGAGTTATGACCGTATTTTGCTTCTTTAATTTTAAGAGAATTTTTCAGATAGTTTTTTTCCCTGTGTATTACTGTGTAATGCTTGAACTGATACATTTTTTTTTCCATTTACAGTGGATATGGGCATCCATTTAGGAAGATCATTCTGCTGCCTTCTCTCAGAGTTGAAGCTTCAGCATTCAGGTCTAGTAAAAAATTCTACTCAAGCATGTATGATTCTCCAAATCTCTTAATTTGTGTTGTCCATTGTCAAACTAGAAGTAAGATTCATGTTTTCTGTTGCAGTATATAAATTCTGCCTCTTGGTGTGAAAGATATTTGCTGTCACAGTATTTTAGAGATATGCATAATGTGGATAACCCTTTTTTAGTGTAAGTTAATATTCTTAAAAAAAATACTATTTCAGCCTAAGTATTACATGACAGCTCTGTATAAAATCCTTGAGTTAAAACCTATGTGCAGCACTACTTAGTTGAAGTACAGTGAATATCCTTTCACCCTCAGAAAACAATGGATTGCCTAGGCTAGCATGCTCCCAAAACTTCATTATTCTGTGAAAGTTTGGGAGTTTTTTACTGCCTGTGTAGATTTAAGCATTAGTTATTCTTTTGATACTTTGTCCTGATAGCTCTTCTAGGCTGAGCTAGATTAAAAGCTCCAGTTTGTCTTCGTTCTGTGCTGTTTGTGAAGGTTTTGGCATTCAGGTGCCTAATAGAAAAGCATGTAATCAAGGCTGCCATTTTTTAGATAAATTTGAAATTGCTACTAGTGATCATTAAAGTTAAGCATTGAAACTAAACTGATAGTGTATTGAGCAGAAAATTATATATGTACAACAATTTCCAAATAAAGGTGATGTCATATAAGTTGAGTAGTTATGTGCATTTATTTTCTTATTTATGCAGAAAAAAACTGGGGTTTTGACTAAAACAGCATTTTGGCCTTCCTGGAATTGGCATTAGCTTAAAAGTAGAGTGGTGCGAACTGCATGCGTTGAATATAATGCTGTTAACATAAAAAATAACAACATATAATTTACACTGCTTATATTTTTTGCATATCTCAGTTTAGTTAATTAAAACCATTTAGGTATTACGTTTCAGTTGGCTTGATTTCAGTCAGTTTCAACTTTATGTTCAGTGTTACTGAATAACTTCTAAAGTATTTTCAGATGCTACAGAAAATACATACAAAACAAGTATTTTTCTTGAAAACTTATTTTTGGTTGATTTACTATGTCTGTTTTGCATGCCTTCTCAGACTGCTATCGTCCTGATTATTCTTGTCTTCATACAATATATGCATTTTCTGTCTCTTCTTAATTTTTCTTTTCATTGTCTTCTTTCTTTTCCTTTATTTTTAGTGGATTTTCTTTCTTGACAAGCTTTGACTGGTCAGTTTTACAGGTGTAGAGTACAAAAAAATACGTGCTATATAAGTAGCAGTTGCAGTTTTCTGCAACTCTGCTCTCTAGAATAGATATCGCTCCTGGCAATTGTGTGCAAGGTCCTGCACATGCATCAGTGGAATCCCAAGCACAAACACAGGGTGTGTGGAGAATGGATTGAGAGCAGCCCAGAGGAGGACTTGAAGGTGTTGGTTGACAAGAAGCAAAACATAACCCAGCAATGTGCATTTGAATCCCAGAAAGCAAACCATATCATGGGCTGCATCAAAAGGATTACGGCCAGCAGGTTGAAGGAGGTGATTCTCCCCCTCTGCTCTGCTCTCGTGAGATCCCACTTGCCGTACTGCATTCAGCTCTGGGGTCCCCAACACAAGAGGGACACGAACCTGCTCAAGCGAGTTCAGAGGAGGCCATGAAGATTAGAGAGCTGGAGCACCTCTCCTATGAAGACAGGCTGGGAGAGCTGGGGTTGTTCAGCCTGGAGAAGAGAAGGCTCCAGAAGGACCTTAGAGCAGCCTTCCAGCACCCAAAGGGGGACTACAAGAAACCTCGAGAGAGACTTTTTGCAAGGGCCTGTAATGATAGGACAGGAGGTAATGGCTTTAAACTGAATAGAGGGTAGATTCAGATTTAGGTATAAGAAGAAATTTCTTTACTGTGAGGGTGATGAGCACTGGAACAGGTTGTCCAGAGAAGCTCTGGCTGCCCCATTTCTGTCAGTGTTCAAGGCCAGGTTGGATGGGACTTTGAGCAATTAATTTAATAGTGGACGGTGTCCCTGCCTGTGGCAGGTTAATTGGAGCTGGATGAGCTTTGCCTTCCAACCCAAAACATTCTGTGATTCAGGTGAATACAGTGAGCATGAACGTAACACTGTGTCATATGTGTCATGTTGTCATTGGTGTAGCCTGTTTCAGATAGAGGGCTCTGAAATGAGGAAGTGTTGCTGTGGCTTTGTTCTGTCTTGCAGACTTGGTCTTCCCACACTGACATTTGTCTCAGAGCAAGAAATGCTGTATTACTGAGAAAATTATAAGTAACACAAAGGGAAAATTAATTAAATAACTGCTGGGAAGCGGTTTCTTTTACTCTGAATGTTTGGCCTGCCTATCATACTTTTAAAATGTTTCATTTTGTATTCTTTGCTCCAAGATACTGGAGTGTACCTTCTCATCTGTGATTCTCATCTGTAGCCCAGCAGCCACCATGCTATTTCCAAAGCTTTATAGTAAGTAGTGTTCAAGTTCCCAGGAAGAGAACTGGATCAGCCCCCAGCTCAGAGTGCCAAACCCAAGCTGAGTGCATTCAGTTGCGCATACAGCACCAACCCACTCATAGATATATGAATATGTAATGGGGTAGTCTGACTGCGCAGCCATGTGTCACAGTGTAACCCCCAGCTTTGAAGAGTAGAGAAACAACAAGAAGGCTTCAAAGGCTGTTGATGCGGATTTCTGAAACTGCCTACACAGCTATGTAGCTGTGCTCCTTTCAGGTGAGACCTGGCTCTGGAAGTAATTTAGTCACATTTATATGGTGTTGCTTTAACAGGTGAGACTTGAAAGATTTCAGGCATAAGACCGGAAGGATCTACACATGCGAGTTCTAGTGTCTCTGCACCTTTGGCCTTGTTAATCTGCAATTGGGATGAGCAAACTCAGCATTAACTGTCTTAGGTAAAAGTGGTTGTATGTTTATCAAACTTTAGATCAGAATAAGGTTTCCCAAAAGTGCCAGAGCTATTTAATTGAAAAAGGCATCTTCAAAAAGGACTAAATCACCATTTGCTCCAGGCCATGTCTATGTGCCATGTTACTTCACAGAATGTTACTACTGGTCTGTAAGACTTCTTTGCCACTTTTTCTTTTAGAACTGCACACTGTCCCTCTCCTGTCCACTTCAGAAAGGCAGTTGGTACTGTAACCTTGCTAAGGTAGGAATAGAGATTTTCTTTGCTGTAGATTTTGAAATACACTTTTCAGACATGAATTGCATCAAGCAATTGAACAGTGTTACACATGCTGTATGTAGATCATGATCATGCTCCTCTGAAGCACACAGAGTCAGTTCTAAGGAAAATGTGTTGGGGCTTGAGTCACATACATATATTTGGAATACCTGTAATCTATCAGTGCATTCCACCTCTTATGCCCTATTTAAGTGATCACAGGTCTTACATGCTTTATCAGGCAAAATGTAATACAATAGTAGCTTCTTTTGTTGCCCTGAGTAAGCAAGAATAGCATGATAATTACCAAAAGTTATGTGCCTCATACATCTGGCTAGGAGAGTGTAGGAGGCTTTTCTTCTCTTGCCGTGAAATTCTCTGCTCAGTCAGTATTAGCACTCTAAGGCCCCCTGGAGCAGCCATGTTGGGAGTGCTCCTGGCTGCCCGACAAAGCTTGGCACAGAGACAACAGTGTTATTTTAGCTGTCACAACATAAGCTATGCTCAGTTCATATTTTTAAACATTCAAAACACATGCTAGAAGAGAAAAATATTAAAGATAAAAATGACTGAAATGAACTGGAAAATGAAATAAATGGAGTCTGTGGCCATAGACACAAGTCTTAAGGATGTGTTTCTTATGATCAGCTGTGTGGTCTTCTTCACATTACTTTTCCAATTTACTGCTTGTGATTTTCGTGTTAAGAACAAACCTGAGATTGTAGCAATGGAAGGGTTCCAGTGGTCTGTAGTCACTGATAAATGTATAACTAAATGTTGTTCATAAACAATAAATCACATCTAGAAAATGGTTGACGTACTGTAAAATGTAGTTATGCATTCAAATATAAAAAAAAAATCTTTTAGAATTTTGTATCAAGACAAGTGTTTATCATTTATAGAAGTAACCTGTTCATCTGTCATGATATTTTACAAATAATAGGGCATATTACACAATTCTTCCCTTTTGAAAGGTTTTCATTTTCATCACTTTTTTTTTTTTTCCCCATGACCCATGATGGGAAAATAAATGTCTTCCTTTAGTGTTTTTGCTTTCAGCTACTTGAAACTTATCTCAGAGGTATATTAGGGTACAAAATGAATATGTCAGCAGAAAGTGTCATATATTATCACCTCTGTCCTAGTCATTGATTGTAAACTGCAAGCACGAGACATTCTCCATGGAAATATGTTGATTTGTCTCTGACTGTAGCTGACAGTGAGTCAACAACAGACTCTTTTTGTCATTCTTTTCTTAAATCAATAGGGTGTTTTGCTAAATTTATAATGCTATTTTTTTAGAAGCAACATAGTCTTTTGAACTGAGAAAAATCATATGCCACCATGATTAATAGTTTGAAGCCAAACAGTCTTTTCTCGAATGAGTCATGTTAAAGGAAGTTGCTGTATTTTGTATCTTAAATAATAGCAAAAATTTTGTTCTGATGTAGATAAATGTCAGGATTTTGCCTGTAATTTTGTCTGGTTTTGTTAGTCAAATATGGAAAAATATGTAATTTAACTTATATGAATTAACATTTAACTTGTAGAGCCTTTCTTCTGTATATGGGCTGATAATACACTATCATTAGTTCTCTTACTGATAGTCAGCTGGCCTATGCATAATAATTTCAGAGGCTTTTAAGATGAACCACTTACTTGGAAGGACAATCTACTAGGTATCTTTCTTACACAGAATTGTGGAACCATAGAATAGTATGGATTAGAAGGGACTTTCAAAGGTCATGTAGTCCAACCCCCCTGCAATGAGATCAGGTTGCCTAGAACTACATCCAAACTGGCCTTAAATGTCTTTGGGGATGGCACATGTACCACCTCTCTGCAGAA